ATAGTATATTCTATTAATACACAAACAACACACACACACACACACACACACACACATCTAGATGAGCCAAGCTCGCAATCATTTTTATTATAAATGATCGACAAATTCATATAGGAAATAAGAATAATGAAACAATAAGTAATATTTTATGAGTTAATTGATATTTATATATTATTTTGTGACAAAGAAATATATTTTATATAATCATATTACAGTGAAGCTTTAGACAGTGATTTCATTATTTTAATAAATGTGAATTCTAAATCTTTTGTTGCATGTGCCCTTGTATTTCAATGATTGATCAGCACAATTTGGTTGTTTAAACAAGATTTTTTTGAGTGTATTATATGTATCATCCATAAGAATAATTTAATGTTGTAATGACCAAAAAAATGTAAAATAAGACAGAGACACATTTGCAAGCTAATATTTAAATTATTTGATAAAAGTCAAGTCCATTTATAAAAAAAAATGTATATATTATCTATTATATTGTTTTAATTTATTTGTAATGCAATTAACTTATAAATATTAAATAATTTTTAGAAAGATATAACTTAAAATTAAAATTATATATATTCTTATATTATATATCATTCTTATGTTGTTTTAAAATATCTTATATAAAACGTTAATAAAACTTATTGAAGCAAAACATTGAAGTTATCCGGTAAATACTGTACATTGTAAATGTACTTTCTATACTTCTTTGCATTATAAACTTTAATAATTTTTATAATCGGACAAGGACAGATGCCAAGGTAAATCATATCTAATCATAATAATTTATAATAATATTTAATATTAATATTATTATAATTTATTTGTTTCAAAAACTTTTATTTTCAAAGCATTTAAGCGAAATTTGATTAAAATATTTAATTTAATACAAATAGATCAATAATTGTAAATTTGATTTTTGATAAATTCTCAAATTCATAGATATTTTGTTCATATATATCTATTTCTATAAAAATCATATTTAATACTGATAACAAATCATTATTATAAAATCCCATGATGCAAATGATCGAAAAAAAGTTATTTATAATATATAATCGAGAAAAAACGTTATTCATGATTTGTAGTAATACTCACGTTTTGTAAAATATGCCTGCACTATAATTTGTTACTAACTGTGTCCCAAGATTATTCAAGAACACGTAAATAAAGTGAATAATGATTAACAGTCCAACTGAAAGAAATTCTTCAATTTTTTCTCTTAAATTCTGCTTGAAAAAGCTAATATGCACGAGAAAACGCTTCATATGGTAAAATTTTAATTTTCTGTATTATGTTTAATAATATATTTTACAATGAAAAAGTATTCTCGATAGAAAAATTCAAATGTTTGCAATAAAAATTTGTGATTTCTAATACTTGACAAATTGTGATTTTGTTATTTGACACAATAATACATACATTGTAGTGCACAATTAACATAATACTTATACGGAACATATTGACGCTTAATGAAAAAACGTCCAATACAAGCAAGAAAAAGTAAGATACTTCAAAGCAGGAATTAAAAAATTCAAAATATCTTTAATAATATTTCAATATTAAAATTTAATATAATTCAATATAATAAAATTTTTACAGTACTTATATCGTTCATTCCAATTATGTCATTAGAATTTAATCTGTAATTCGAGATTCTTCTACACTGATTTTCTAATATAAATTAATCATAAAATAACATTAAGATATTATTATGTATTATAATATTATTATATTATATAATATATTATTACGTACTCAAGAGCTCTATTGTGAACAATAATCGCGTTGATTATATTCGTGTAATATAATTTATGTTTTTCCAAGACAGAAATTTGTATTTTGCAATCAATGTTTGCAATGTTTGCATGTTTTATACGAAAACTACAATAATAAAGTACATACATTAATAATGATATATGTAAATGCAATGAGAGATATGATTATAAAAACATAAAATTAACGTAAAGTTAAGAATTTTGTTTCAATTTTAAGGTTAAATCTTTATAAATTTCTCTGTCCCAATCATTACTTGGTGATTCTGAATAGTTCACAAGTATGCAGTATATATATCACATTGTTTCTGTAGCCACTATCATAGTTGATTCTACAAAAAGTGTCACTATCATATGTATAAATATTGGAACAAAGTACTTTTCTTGATCAAATAAATATGTGGCTAAACCCAAAAGTTTTAGCTAACGTGATTTGTTTAAAGGAACCACTATATGAAAAAGTTTCGGTGAAATTTGCAACGTTAAAAATGCAGAGAAGCTTAAGTAAAGAAATACTGAAAGAATTTATTAAAAAATAAAAATTATTATTTATCTTGTTACAGTAAATATTGTTATTATAGTAAATACTATTTTCTTTAAATTCTTTGAATAATAAATACTAAAAAAAAATTGAGTTAAAAAAGAGTAAAATGTATATAAAATGCATGCATAAAATATATAATCCGACGTCTAAAAAATCCATTTTATTTATATTATGTTGTATGTAGATAAACTCATTATTCTAATTTAATAAAATGTATTAAATTATTAAATAATATAATATAATATATTTCAATGTATCACAATAAATTTCAATGTTTCAATAACTAAAAATCTTAAAAAAATCTTAAAATCTTAAAAAATTCTTTTACCTTATAATAATAGTTATTATCTTTGCAAAATAGGAATATCATTATAAAATTTTTAATTTCTCTTTGCACTTTGTTAACTTCCAATGATATTTTATTTATTCCGTTAGTTTTTTCATCTACCATTATTAATAAAAATTATTAATCTTCTATGAATTTGTGTGTGTATATGTATGATTTCTTATATAAAAATATATAAATAATATGTACAAATAATACAAATAACTATATATAAAATAAAAGATCTTTCGTGTAGAATATTTTATTATTTAATATTGTCAATTTCATTAGAATATTTTAATTGGTATTGGAAATAATTATTAGAAAAATGAATATGGAACATTTATAATGTCTGAAACAAAATAATTATATAAAAATTAAAAAACTTACATCTTCAGCTTTTATACAAAATGTAACATATTTAAGAACGACTGTTAAACAAAGTATAACAAATGATAAAACTTGAAGAAGAGCCTCCATATTAGATACATTTGTTACAATTTTGTATCTATTTGTAATCATATATTTTATTAATGAAACTCTTAATCATCTATAATTCTATACACACACACACACACACACACACACACACACACGCGCGCGCGCGCGCGTAAATTTTGTATTAATTATTGCATATATACCTTTATATTATACCGTAATAAAATACATACTATAAAATAAAAAATATTTAAATATTAAAATAATCATCATATTTTGTACAATTCTATTTAAATGTCAGATGTTCAGAAAAATTGTCTATTTGTGAAAACACAGATAAATTCGGCTTACTTGTTACCATAGAAAAACATTTGTATTTATATTCAAGATGTTCAAATGTAATAATATTAAAATGAAGAAGCGAGAAATAAAGATAGAAATATCTGTAGAAATATAGAAAATGAAATTAATAAACCAAAAAGTATTCTTTGAATACATCTATATATAGTATCGTTATACGGCCATAGATCAAGTATAATTAACAGCATTTGATTAACTCTAAAGAAGCTAAATTCATTAGACTCCATCTTTTCATGAAGGCTGAAATACAGCTGCGTCGAAAAACACTGAAAAAATTCATTTCTATCTCCCGTCATATTTTATTAAACTTCTTTGTATTCTGCTCTTGAATTTTTATCGCATTTCTTTTTTGACTATTATTAATAAATTAAAGTTATAAACATCTGGTAATAGATACAAAATTATAATAGGAAAGTTTATATTCTCTGGGAAGAAAAAGAGGTCGGTAATAAATCGATACCTTTTTATTTCATATGATATTCTTGTAATTATCGTGAAAATGCTAAGAATGAAATAAAAATTGTTTCATAAAGTATGCAGATAAGATGATAATACTGAAAAAGAAATTTTCTTTTTCCTGAAACTGTAAACATTGTCATTATTTTGCGCTAATAATCGTTTTTCAATTTTGCTCGAATGGTCGTAAACGTTACTTTAATACTGCTGAACAACTGAATGAATATTCATTTTTATATAATAAATAGTGATAATTC